CACAAGTCAACCCTTTTTCTTAGCAGGAAAGGATCCTCAATCCATTTTTACACTAACCAAGAAGCAGGGAAGTAGGCGAGCGTGTTATTTAGGTTTAAAGCCAACTGTCGTCCCTCTACTTTAATATTTTATTCGTTCTTGTCCCTCTACTAAGGTCATGTTCGTTGTCGTCCCTCTACTCTCCAAAGAGCCAAAATGTCGTCCCTCTACTTGGCTTTTTTTGTTTGTTGTCGTCCCTCCCCTAACACCGTCCATGTTGCTGTCACTGCTGACCGTTAAGTCCCAAACGGTCAGCAGTTAAACCCATCTCTTTTCTTTTTTTTTCCACACATGCTGCCAATTGTGATGCCACCTGTGCAAGAAATAGGGACCACTTTGCCCAGTTGCTTTCATTATTTTTAATCTCTTTGTTTATGTTTATGTTTTATTTCATATATTTTACTTGTGTAGAGTTGCTATTATTTGTAGGCTGAAAGATGTGCAGGATTAAGGGCCATAAAACAAACAAGGTTGGATCAAATGGAGGCTGCTGATTGGGGATCCTTACTGCAAGAAATCAGTGAAGGAAATGGTGGAGATGCTTGAAATTGAGGGGTGATGACCTGTTTTGTTCATGCTGTGGATTGCTACTTTAATTTTGAGGATGCTGATTTTTTGGACTTTATGGTGTTAATGCTTGCTATATATATATATATATATATATTGTATATTATGAATGCTGGTTTATGGTAGGCACTATTAGGGCATGTAAGTGCTTGTAATGCACTGTAAATACAGGTTTAGATATGGATACAATGAAGATAGAAATGCTTTTAATGTGTAATAGGTGTTAGCTCCGGTAGTTATGCCTTGTACCAGCAGTTGGAAATGCTTTTAATGTGTAATAGGTGTTAGCTCCGGTAGTTATGCCTTGTACCAGCAGTAAAAATTGTCTGAGCAATCTTTTTTTTTTTTGTTAAGTATTGCTCTGTATAAGCATTCACTGAAATGAAATGAGTAACCTTGTTTTTTTGTTATGTTATGCCTTGTACCAGCTATAAATATTGTCATGAGCAATCTTTTTTTTTTTTTTGTTAAGTATTGCCCTGCACCAGCAGTATGTCATGAGTAGTCCTATTTTTTTGTTAAGTTATGCCCTATGTATACTCAAAACACAAACATATTTTGCAAGGAAACCATTTCCAGAAAAGTCATATTTCATTCATAAGCTAATCAATTACAATAGGAGTCATATTTACAACAAGTAGTCCTATAATTACAAAAGCAGTCCGCACCACATCATATTACACTTGCTCATCACCTATTACAAAAGCAGACTATGACCAATTACCCTGCAAATTTAATGGCCAAAAAAGCAATTATGAAGATACAACAAATTAAACACTTTTTCAGCTTCAAATAACTTGAAGCAACTGTCTCAATCCCACTAACTTTGTTTTCCATTTCACAGTTCAAATTCTTCAAACCATCAATCTCTCTATGCAGGTCCAGGTTCTCCTTTTTCAGTTGTGAAATCTCATTCAACAGTGCTTGCTCTTTATCCCAGCAATATGTTATCCAAAACTTAGCTCGAGAATCAAAGTCCACAGGTATGGCCGGCTTCCTCACCATCCTTCTACAACAATAAAAAAAGCAATAAAAGCAATAATAAAACAATTATAAAAACCTAACCAAAACAATCTCAACCGAAAACAACCAAAAATAAAAAACCAAATTCCTCAAAGCAGAGCACAGCACAGCTTCCTCACCATCCTTCTACAACAATAAAAAAAAGCAATAAAAGCAATAATAAAACAATTATAAAAACCTAACCAAAAACAATCTCAACCGAAAACAAACAAAAATAAAAAACCAGATTCCTCAAAGCACAGCACAGCAAACTGATCGAAGAGCAACAGATATAACCAAAGCAAAGAGAAGATATCTGAGCAGAGCAGTATAGAGAAGGATTAACATTAATACATAAGCAAATTGCTCAAAGGCCCACATTTGCACAATCTAAAACACAAAAACAAGCTTTACCGAAAATTTTGGACATCCCCAAAACCTGCGTCCATAGTTGAATCGAGTCATAGCAGTTCTTTTAACTTGTCGAAGACCACATTTGCAGAGACCCACAAACTCGCCATAATGAGGAGATGAAGATGGAGAACCAAATTGAGAGGATGGTTGATGGGAATTGCTTGAATACATGTTGGGTTCGGTGATTGGGTGAATAAAAACAAGGAAGATGATAGGACCAGAAATTCGAAACAGGAATTAGAGAAGATTAATTGAACCAGAGGGGTCTAAGGGAAGGGAAAAAGAAGAAGAACCAGGGAGGGAGAGAGGCCCTATTTTGACTGTATTGAAAGATCAAATGATTGAAAAGAAAGAAGAATTTTGAGCAACTAGTGTTCCTGGTGCAAGCAAATGGAGGAAACAGGGGGGAATGTTGACAGACAATTTGGGGCTTGGTGGCGTTAGGGTTTCTGCAAATGGGGGAAAATTGGGGGAAAATGTCGAGGGAGAGAGGAGAGATAACAAAGAAGACGATTGCCAAATTTAAAGAAGAAAATGGGTTGACAGGTGGGCAGCATGTGTGGAAAAAAAAAAAAGAAAAGAGATGGGTTTAACTGCTGACCATTTGGGACTTAACGGTCAGCGGTGACGGCAACATGGACGGTGTTAGGGGAGGGACGACAACGAACAAAAAAAGCCAAGTAGAGGGACGACGTTTTGGCTCTTTGGAGAGTAGAGGGATGACAACGAACATGACCTTAGTAGAGGGACAAGAATGAATAAAATATTAAAGTAGAGGGACGATAGTTGGCTTTAAACCGTGTTATTTACAACCAACAATCACTAATTTATCGCTTTTGTTCCAAATCGAGTGTATTAACGTGGAAGCTGAGTTTGAACTTCGAAGCTTCTTTGGTAGTTTCTTCTGTCATCTCCTATGACTTCTTTACATGGATGACGATGCTTCCCCCCATAAGCACTTTCATCACTCAATAAACCAAGAACAAAAAAATCAAAAAATAAAAAATAAAAAATAAAAAAACTTAAAGGCAAGTTTACTGTTTTTTGTAAGAAAGAATCAACTTGTTGTTTCACTGAAAGGAGGGGGAGGAGAATGAGTCAGCACGGTGTTTCGCTTTCCTTTCCTCTCCTCCCTTTCACTTTGAACTTTGAACCATAATTCCTATGACCGATAGACCGGTCTTTACGAAGAAATTCCTCAGTCAAACTTCTCCTTCCCTCCTTTAAATCCGACATCCATCTTTCCCTGCTTCATTATTCAGGATTCTCCCCTGTTTATTGATAACCATTAATTTCAGAACCCTGAAAACCCATTAAACCTTTTCAGATTACTGTTCATTTTGATGGCTTCTTTTCAGCTCCTATGCGTTTGGCGTCTGACATAGCCAAATATCTAACGCAGAACTCTTAATTGTTTATATATTCTATGCTTTCTGCTTATAATTCTTCATTGTTTGATTGCTAAAGATGGAGAATATGGGAGATTGGGAGCAAAGGAATCTGATTTATGAGCTGACACAAGGAAGAGAGTTAGCGAAGCAGCTTCAGTTGCATCTCAATGTGCCATCTTCCTCCCAAGAAACTATGGAATCGCTGCTCCAGAGGATCCAAGGTTCCTACGAAAAGGCGCTTTCAATCCTCAAATGGAACACCTCGGTGGCGATGGAGGTGCAGACTGCTGGTTTGGCAACCAGGATGGTTGAAGCTCCTCTTTCTCCTCGCAGCGGGAGTCCCCGGAGTGAGGACTCGGACCGTGATAACAAGGATCCAGAAATGAAAGATAACCCCAAGAAAAGGTAGGCGTGTGTCCAACACATGGCTAGAATCTCTATGCTAAATTTGAAGAGCTAGCTCAATATATGTTTGATGCGAGGGAATTTTTTCATGTTGCAGGAGGACTTTGCCCACTCCAAGATGGACACAACTCGTGCCAGTAACCCCTGGTACGCCGCTGGAGGTACCTCTTGATGATGGCTTCACTTGGAGGAAATATGGACAGAAAGACATTCTCGGAGCAAAACATCCAAGGTAGACTTGAATTTGAAAAGTCTTACTCCTAATCTATGTCAAAGACCCAAAAAACAACTGACAACTTGTTTGGTAGAATACAAAAAATAACTTCTAATACCAACTTTGATTTGACTTTAACGTCGTTGCAGGGGCTACTACAGGTGTGCCCATAGAAACGCACAAGGCTGCTTGGCTACAAAGCAAGTGCAAAGATCCGATGAAGATCCATTGATTTTTGAGATTACTTACCATGGAAGTCATACCTGTACTCAAGCAGTCTCCCCTTCTCAAATCCCTCCCTCGTCGTCCCAGGAAAACCAAAACCAAGATGCTAATTTAATAAACCAGCAGCAGTCACTGAATAATTTACCAATGAACCTTCAAAAAGAGCTTAGAGTTGTAACAGAAGACTTGGACGTTATCCCACAGCAACAAGCTTATGCTTCCTTCCCTGATTTTCCACCCACATCAAATGTAACAACCGCGTTCTCGTCGTCCATGATGGGAAAGTTTTCACCTTCCTTTATCTCGCCAGCGGAATCCGGAACTAACTATTTTCCGATGTCTGCAACCGGGATACATGGTGTTCAGGAGAACCTGAATGTTCAGAGTTCAGGGCCTTTGATCACTGATACCATCTCCGCTGCTACTTCCACTACAAACTCTCTAACGGCTGGGTTGGGTTTCCCATTTGGTAATATTGAATTCGAGGACCCCAACTTCACATTTAATGATCCGAGATTCTTCTCTTGATCCAACAACTTTCCCAAATAATATTTGTAACTTTTTTAATTATTAATTTGTTAAAAATATTTTTAGTCTTTTCATTATCATTTTTAATATTATAATTATTAAGACATCTTAATTTTTCTTTGTCCCAACTAGTCGTTGTTGCTTGATACGTATGATATTGGCAAACGAAAGAGACATACCATACGGTCTTTGTAGTCTTCTTTTTTTAATTTCTTTTATTTTTTGGTCGGCAGCTTGGCATGCAGCCTTTGTAGTCTTTGACTTGTAATTCCTGAAAGTTGAAAGTTTCATAGAAGAATCCGCAGCATCGAAAGATGATTGTAGGCAAGACTTTCCGACCGTCGTTTCACATAACCTTTTCACAACAATTTTAGGATCGCAAAAACCAAGAAAAAAAGGAGTAATTAAAGTTGTCCTCAATTGCAATTTATTTCGGTAAACATTTAAAAAATATTTTTAAATCCATTATGTATAAAAATCATGTTATTTTGTAATTCAATGATATCAAATTAATTATAAAATAAAAACTCTCAAAGAAAATGAGAGTATTTTAATATTAAAAATGTTAGATTATACATACTTTTTTAATATATAAAACCAAAACATTACAAGTCTTGTATAAGTGGGCCCGACCCAACTACTCTCCTAGCAAATATCTTCAAACATGCCCTAGAATTGAGGTAAATGAGCACTTAGGGCTCGTGCCTCTTAAACAACCCAAGCCCATATAAATGAAGCATTGAATTTGAGGCAGAGTATGTGCAGGGGTGAGAATTGGGTATGACTACGCTCCTATTTATAAATATTTTATTTGTTAGAGTAAGTATTATATTTAAATTGTAATAAAAATTAAGTAAATAATGAGTATTAAAATAATATATCTGTTGGCCCACATGACAACCCAAGAGGGGTAGAATTGGGTTTCTAGAAACTTTATGCAACTTTCAAGCACAAAACAATGAACATTCACAAACAATTGTAAACAAATAATTTAAAATGTAAAAATTAAAAGTTAAGGGAAGAGAATGCTCAAACATAAAGATTCAATCACAATTTGTGTTTAATCCATTCCTCAAGTCGCTTGCTTGAGAGTTAGTTTTGGATTTAAAAGCTCTTTTCCAATTTTCGGGTGTAGAGATAACCGTTTGCAATAATTTTGTTGACGCTATCCCTCTCACTATTACAACGAAAGAAAATAAGAAAATAATAGATTTCTCAAGGCACAAGATAAAAACTCAATCACTTTTGTTTTCTTAACTTGAAAGCTTGAGAGCTTCTCCATTCTTTTAGGTCTGGTTTTATAGTTTGAGAAGGCCCAATCAATGTATATTACCGTTGGAACTCCTTTTTGGAATGAATATATTTTAAATATGGTAGGTAAATTAATGTCCCAACACAAGAGGTTGGAACCTACCTTTAGGATTAGATCTTGGAGAATTTTCTGTGTTAACACTTTAAAAAACAGAATTATTAAAGGTTCAAAACCCTATCCTAGGGGTTGGAGCCTTACTTGTAGAATGCACTTTCGCTCTCGACAACAAGAAAATATAATCAAGTAATTGGACTTTTACCAAAAGGGAAACACATTCAAAATTTAATATTTGAAAATTAATTCAATATTACTAGGGATAAATCATATATTCACAAATAAATCAACTTCCAATCAATTCAATAAATAATATATTCCAATTCATATTTGGTTTTCAAATCATCAAAATCAAGAATAACAATATCTATAAATATTAAGTTAAATAATAAATATAGAGATTTAAAATTATTTACTTGATCTATTTAACTAACTTATTTAATTAATTTATTATCTATACTTATATAATTAAAATTTTATATGTACTTATTATATTTAATATTTATATAATTATAACTTTTAAAAATATAAAATATAAAAAAAGAGTAAAAGTTAAGACATATAAGTTAAATAAATTACATATATAGCAATAACAACTTCTATAAATAACAAACCGTGAATCAAATACATAACATATGTAACAATAATATTTCATATTAGACATTTTATTTTCTTAAACCAAGTACATATGTTTATACTCATATTGAGTTAAATACCAAGTATAAATCTTTTAATATTTAAATAAATATAAAATCTCAAATATTAAACCTAAAAATTTTTAAATTAAATATTAAATATACCTCATATCTAACCTCTATTCGAAAATACTCACCTCTAAATATGTTCATGGGACATTGCCATACGTGGCACCAAACGGCAACTCATTGGGTCCAAAGATATCCCTGTATTCTGGACCTGATTTATCCAAGCTGAGGCCCATTTGCTTAATTGTGTTTCGATCCAGCAGATTTTTTTTTTGTTTTTGATTTTTCCTCGGGATGAGTAGTCCATTCAAAATTTTTTAACCAGAGGAAAATTAAATTCTCAACTGAATTTGTCTTTCTAAGAAAATGAATTAAGATGGTCCATTAATAAACCCACTCCCTCCAAAAAGAGAATCTCTTGTGGCCCAGCCAGAGGCCTCATTATTAAATTCATGCAAAACTCTCGACTTTGCTGCATGTTTTGTTTTGATCCTCTGTTTGCGCGGAGCAGGGGACCATTGGCTCAATAGTAAATGGGTTTTTTAAGTTTCGTGTTCTTAGAATATAAATTAAAAATATTTTTTTAATATTAATTATTATTAAAAAAATAAAATTAATGTTAATATTTATTTTTTTTATATTAATTAATATAAAAAATATATATGAATTATAGTCTAAAAGCACAAGTTATATAAATCTATAGTAAATATATATTTCACTTGTTTTCTCCATTTAATTAAGAAGACATTTCAAGTGGAGG